AGACGGAGAATAGTTCAATTTCACTATCGCAGGTGCTTAGTCAACTGTGGGAAAGAGTTATCACAATCTCAAAATGCCTTTCTTTTGAGTCATGAAACGAATTCTAAAGGGATTTCGAAAACAATTTTTGAATAATAGATCTTAAGAGTTTATTATTGCTAAATAAGTCCAATTATTTAAAATACAACTGAAGGACCTTAACAAATTGAATAATTTCTAAATGACTAAATTGCAGAATCGTTGTTTTATACAAACTAAAATTTAAGCACTTACAACAATTCGCAGATCGCTGAATAACTACCTAATTTTATTTTCTACACATTTTTTTATATTTTTAAGGCAAAAAAACAATTAAGTGTCAGTTCGATAAAAAATCAGACTGTGTAAAGAGTCACTTGAGCTTTTTCCAAAATTAATAATGATAATTCTTTTATACGTCAAAACTTTACGTCTGTTTGATGACTAACTTAATTTGATAGCTTATTTCCGTTGATGATGAGCGATTTTTTTGGACGAAAAAGGAAATGGATCACTTTTATTAAAATGACTAATACGCAAATTTACATGAGTTTCTATGACATGAGTTTTATTAAATAAATTCATGATTAAAAAAAATCGGTTTAAAACATTATATCTGCATACCGATCTGAAGTGTTTCACATGATTAAGATCCCTTAGCTCATTCTTAAAACAAGTTTATCAGTTTTTTTCAGTTGCCTTTCCCCATTGATTAATCACTTTTTGAAATTCCCTTCTCATGTGATAAGAGCGCAAAAAAAAACATGGCAAAAAACTGCAATAAATATATCGACAATCTGAATTTCGCTGGCTGACTAAGTCGATCGTCAAGTTACTCCCTCACCCCTATATAACACCCCCTGGGTGATATCCACCCCAACCATTCATTCGCCTCACTTGATATGCAAATGTGCTGGCCAAAAACAACGATAATAAAATGCAACAAAGTGAAAAACAACATTTTGTAATTTGTAATGCTTGTTAATGTTTTTGTTTTTTGTTTTTTGTTGTTATTGGTATTGGTATTGTTGGTGGTTTTATCTGGTGATATTTCCTGGTCCGATTTCCAGCAAATCAACAAAACAGAGACAAAGAGAGAGTGTGAGAGGGAGAAGCTTATCGCAATTATTAAAATACAATGTCAAAATGGCCAAAGCTCGAGATTATCTTTGCCAATTGAAATGGACAGAGCAGCCAGAGGCGGCGGGTCGAGCAAATATGATACAAAGGGGGGCCACAAGGGGCCTTGGCTTCGTAACCTGAGCCCTGTCGCTTTTTGTCGCGGCTGCAACTGCAGCTCTTCGAATGCAAACTGTAATTGCAATACGCAGTTAGCTAGCTTTTCTTATCGCTCAAACTCAGCTCTGCTCCATAGAACCCCTCTATATGGACCCCCCCGCAAAAAAAGCCCCCTCTTCACGCCAAAAAGCGTAGCGAACCGCTTGACACGTACCCGCTCCGATTTTAGATATGAGAAAGAGGGCCCCAGTGGAGCCCAAGTCTGAGACACACGGAAAAATAATACAAATAAATTACTTAAGCTTTATATGATGACCAATGTTTGGTATCTGTTGAGACTATTTCTTTGTTTTAGATCAGCACATCTTAATAGGGGTTAAAATACGCTTTTTAATTTAATTTTTTAGCCTATTATCTGTTATTTGGGAATATTATTTTGTTACACCCAAAAAAAAGTTGCCAAAGAAACTTTTGTTACATAAATTTTATATTCGCAGATATGAAAAATTTCATAATAACAAAATAATTTCGGTATAAAAATTAAACTTAAAAGTTGGAGCTGTATTATTTAGTATTGCACTAATACTTATACTTAAATACTGACTGCAGTTTATTTTTAAGACACACTTATTAAAACTATTTTTTTGGGTGTGCATACTTTAATACATTTTTGTTTTTTTTACCCTTCAGTTTCTTCCAATGTATTTGCGCTTGGCCCGCTTGAAATCGACTCAAACTCAAACTTGGCTTGACTTTTAGCCAAATTGTCACCCGCATTTAAATGACTATGTCGATGGGCCGATGTCTTTTGTTGGTGCTGCCGGAGAATAGCAACAACCGAACAACCGAACAACAAAACACACAAGCGAACATCCAGCAACCGACAAACAACAGCTGGTCATTAACATAAAATTAGTGATAAGCGTAATTAAAATTTATAAAAACAAAACCAAAAGGCAAGCCAGCCACAAAAGTGTTTATCTATGTGCGACTGCACTCCCTCAGGTCTCGAAACTCTTAAATGGTATGAGATAGATATCAATGGCAGGTGGGACTTGGTTAAAATTATAATACCCCAGGAAATACCCTAGCAAAATAGTAAGAAAAAATATCTTTCATTATAAGTAAAAAAGAAAAGGTTTAGTGTGTATTGAACGAAGCTTGTTTTTAGGTTTTGATTAATATTTCATGTTGAAGCATTTAACTTTTTAAGAATGTAAAAAACTGTTAAAATTTAAAGGAAACCTATTTATTTTTAATGGGTATTTCACCAATTTAAAAATCAAGAAGACCCCTTTTTAGAGTATTTCGAAAACGAACCCGAGGGCGTTGTCATCACGATTCCTGCACTCCGAGTTCGAGACTATACGCTCCGATACAAATGTCAGTTATTGAAGCTTATGTAAAGGCAACAATAACAACGCCTGGAGAATATCCAACAAAAGCTACGCAAGTTGATGTTATTTGCTGTTGTTCTTGTTGTTGTTGTTGCTGCCACTGCTGCTGCAATTGTGATAAAACTTTATCGAGTTGCGCTTTGAGTTCTTTTTTTCTCGCCTTCCAAACCCAACCACCTCCCATTGCCCATCGCACATCGCCCATCGCCCACTAAGCTATGGAAAACAACGGGACAGAAGTGAAGCAAGTGTGCAAGAGATAAATATGCAAAGCACAAATGTTAGGGGGAGCAAGTGGGTGGGTGGTGGTGTTGGATTGTTACCGAGGGATAACCCACTGATAGGGCAGGTGCAACAACAACAACAACAACAACAACAACAGAAGCCCCCAAAAACAACAATGAACTACAGCTGCGCAGATAAAAAATACCCTAAATTATCGTAACGCAAATGGTAAAGTTTTTCGTTATCCATTCCTCAGTACCGTATAAATAGTTGAACTTTTTTAGCTTAATAGGTCTTGAGTACCAACAGATTTTAAAATAGGTTCTAATAAACTGTCCCTATAGTTTAAAATTGTATCCCTAATTGCTTTTCGTAACTATTTATTTTAATCATTCTTCAGTAAACTATAAATAGATAAACGTTTTAAGCTTAATAGGTATTGATAATTATTTGAGTACAAACATATTTTAAAATAGGTTATAAGAATTAAGGAATTTCTTTATCCATTGTTCGTTGCCCTATAAATAGTTTAAAAATGTAACCCTAATTGGTTTTAGTAACTATTCAAGTATAAATAGTACTTTCAAAGTTGCTGATTACAGTCTTCGGAACTTCATTAGTAGTTAAAAGCTATGGAGATTAAAGTTAAATGCGTGCTTAAAATAGATTCAACGGAATTATGAATGTTCTTTAAATAGTTCTAAGTAAAATGGGTCATGGTACGAGTAGTTATTTGAGTGAATCTATTGTAGTAACAGCTAAGTGTTAAGTGCTGGAATTCCCTTAATGATCGCTTGTGTAGATCTCTATATAGTGTATCAAAAGCTTCGTTGGCCTCGGCTCAAGTTATCGATTCTGCTGCTTACTGCTGGAAGTTCCACTTCCATGACTCGATGTGATATCACTTGCTGGGTAGTTGTTGGCTTGTGGGATTGGGTGGAAATGGGGGTTCTGTTCAGCCAGCCGAGAAACGTGCTTGGAGCCGAAGCAGCGACAGCGATAAGGAGTCCAAAATGGCCAAGTTCAAAATGGATAAGCGGCAAACTGAGGCAAGCAGGGGACCTGAGACTGAGGTGAGTTCAGGTGTCTAGTGTCGCAGGTCCGGCACGTTTTATCGATTTCGAATCCGAAATGCATTCATTGGGTGTCAAATGGTACGGGGCCATAAATTTATCAAATGGCAAACAGCGAAATGTAATTAGTTAATACTCTCGAAGTACTCTCTCTTCTCGACTCCCCGACAATATTTATAAGGTGTGTCAGCGGCACGTACAACAGGTATCGATATCGATAACGAGGTGACAAAGAAATTTCATTTGAATGAGCAACAAAAGTTGACAATTTGTTTAATACCCACTTAAAGCTTGCATAACCAGGGGGTATATTGGCTTCATATCCCCCAGTACACAAACAGAAGTTGAAAAATTAAAAAAGGGTATATAATACCTATAATCTGCAATACAAATACATTTCTTCGTTTTAAGTGATAACGATCTTTTTAGAGAAGTTGTTCGTTATCAAAGTCTAAATTAATCATTTTAACTTATGGTCGCAAAATCTTGACTTTATCGTTCTCACTTGCTTTGGTTTATTTTTTTTCGACTGCTTTGTCATGGCATAGTTTATCAGCTGTACCCCTTCTTTGTCTTCTACGTTTGCTGTGTGTTCGTTCACATGTTCTGCTGTCCAAAAAACGAGAGCTGCTGACCAAGCGAGCGAATTTGATTGGGTCAACTGGCGTTCAGATGGGAAAACCGATTGTGAAAAGTGGAAAGATCGAAAAGATATATAAAAGTATTTATAAAGTATTAAATAAAAGTTTTGTCACAATCTCTTTAACAATCTCTTCAAATTTTTATATAGGATAGGATATAGGAAATGCACTGATTTAATTATTAAATTAATCTCAAATATTTTTTATTCCTAACATTTGTAAAGCAATAAACTTAATAAATTTTTAAATAACTATATACATTTTTTTAACACATTATAAATTTACTTCAATGTGATACAACTTTTGAACGTCACTATAATGCTTTGTGACTTTAATGGGTAATGTTATTTGAGATTAAGCCTTAATTATTATACTTTTAGAATTCAGGAAACCTTAACATGACTCACCTTTATTCAACGGCTTGGGGTTGGACTGTTTGCGTCGTGACATTTCGAGTCCAGCTGCGGGACTGAGATATATGTGCAGCTACGTCGGCATCAAAGTTGCGGAAGATCCAAATCCGTTTCCCTTTTCGCGAACATTTACCGGCGGATGCAATCGCACTCACACACAGGCACTCACTCTCACACACACGTCGAGTATCAATTATGGGCAATCAATGCGATTATTTGTAATATTTGTATTATTGACGGCGATTAACAAGACTTAATGAATTTTTAACGATCGGCGCGGCAAAAAACGCGCGCGATTCGGATCGAAATGGAAGTGGAACTCCGATTGGAATGGTATGGATGAGCAGCTCCAATTGGAATGCAACAGGCGATAATCATCAGCAATATCTCGAATCGCATCAATATCTAATTAGTTTTTTGCTCTTGATATTTTTATTATTATTTATGCAGTCGCGTGTTTTTTTGCCAAAAGCCTCTCGAATGGCAGCTTGGCATGCGGAGACGTCCGTTCAAAGCAATCGCTCGCTCACGAATGAAATGAAAATAAAAGCTCCCATTGGGGAGAAGAGAATGGTCTTATTGGAGCGCGCGCATTTGGGCTCTCTCTCTCTGTTTCCATTTTGTTTTGACTTGGATGTTCATTGCTTCGCTTGCTTTGGCGTCTGCTTCGCCGACTGATAAGAATCAAAACAAAAACGCCGAAACTTTTACGCACGTTTTCACACTTTACTTGCTGTCCTTCTTTCTCCTTCCTTATTTAAAGCGGTTTTAACCATTATCTTATTGGATTTCATTTTGTAACTGTTTTAAAAAGATTGTTCCAACTTTTAGCGTTTTGCCAGAGTAGAAATTTGCTTAATTTAAATCACCTTTCAGTCACTTCTAATTTGTAATTAATTTTGCTGTTTTACTTAAGTCAGTTTATTTCAATTCGCTTAGTTTTATGTTTTTCTTCTACGCTTTAGACTCCAACTGCAGGCAAAAGGCGTTAGTAAATGGCCTCTTTTCTTAGACGAAATTGTGAGCAACTGCCTGAGAAGATGGCACTTTAGGCCGCCAGCTGGCGCTTTAGTTACCGTTAGCTATGCATACTTTTAGGCTTTCCATAGAGGGCGCCACTCATAGGCGCTGACTTCAAACGAATAAGTCGTCTAGGTGCATCTAACCATGATTCATTTTAGTTTATGGCATCAAAAATATATAAATAATTACTGCAACGTCCACAGAATTCTATTTCCTGTGTGAACATTATTTTCAGCATTTTATTTAGCTGCACTTCCGTTCCTTTTTTTGGTTAATTTTTTTACTACGCTTCGCTTTTTGTCTTGTAATTTGCACCTATTGCCAGGATTTAATGGGAATTTCTCCTGCTTTGCATTGGATGCTCATAGATTTTAAAAATTCCGACAGCAGCGGAAATGAAAAGCTTCCTGCGGGACAAGCTCGATGTGAAAAGAGGGTGGTGGTGGGTGGGTGGAATTCCAAAGGCTGCATGCAAAGTGGGATGCATGGCAATAAATATCAGAAACCAGTTAGCAGGCCATAATCCACGCTAACATATGGCCGAGTCGATTAGCCACGCGACCTCTACTCCACGGGGTTTCCTCTTTACCCGTCCTTTCCTTTGGTCATTTGCGGTCTTCTTTCATTCATTTTTGCACCCATTTTATTCAAAACCGTCCCTTGGTTAATCGCTAATGAAGTATACGCACCGTTGACCTTCGCAACGTTCGTTCATCTTTGTCGCTTTTTAGGCAATCTCTCTGATCGCTTTTTTTTCTGTTCTTGATGCAATTCAAAAATCTCGCAGCAAGCCTATAAATAAATAAACGTTCACGGTTGGCACTACTTTGTGAATACTTGTACATAACTAAAAGATTTGGTTAAGCATTAAAAGTAACTAAAATTTCGAAATGGTTAGGTACAACTCCTTCAGTTATCATTAAAATTGAAATTTAATACTTAATGTTATTAACCTTTCAAAGCGATTAAAACTGTACCTACAATTATTGATAAGTTAATAAAAAAAATTAAGTACAAACCATTTTTATCATATATATAAAAAAAACGACAAAATTGGTTGGGAAACACTTTCTAAATCTGGCGCTACACAAACTAATGGCCTTCGAACAAGCTAAAAACGAAAATACTGTAAGAGGCACGGAAAAAAAAATGTTAAATAGCCATAACTAATTTTAAGGGGGATCCCAGTCAATTCGGCTTTAAGTCATATACTTAAATGAGTGGGCTGCTTCTTTGTTAGTAACATCGAAACTACATATATCAATCAGTTGTCTAAATACCCAATTGGTTGTATAGTTTCACCGAATTTTTTGGCAAGCACAAAAGCACCCAAAAAACGCAATAAACACATAAACACAATCCGTAACCGAGTCGGCCTCCTCTGTAATCATAGTGCATTACACTCGACTGGAGGCCTGATGGAGAGATTGGGGGATTGGGAGATCCGCACTGGGAGGTGATGAGGCGAGGTGAGCAACTTCCAGGTCAAGCAACTTCTGGCAGCAAGGCCATGCCCGTGACTGAAATGGAAATGGAAATGACAGCCGCAAAATAATAAAACAAAACAAAAAACGAACCGAATATCTGCCGAAATTTTGGCGGGGGAAGCGAATATCATTGACCCAAGGTGCAGTTACCTTGTGTGTTCGTGTTCCCTCCAAGTGCAATGATCCGATGATCTGATGCCATCCGATCGGAAGCGGCGTGTTTCCAACCCTGGGAGATTCGACCTTACCCTGAACGCAAAAGTATATGCACAAGTGTATGGGAAATGGGGGTCAATACACTAAACCAGTCAATTGTGAAAAGTATAGACTTGCATTCAGAAAATTTACGATTATAATTTAAGTTTTAAAGGTCATTACTATAGCTAAATTACACTTGGTTGTAAATAGATAAATTACACATTTTTAATATAATTAATTTAATAATACAAACATGTATAAAAAAAATTTATAATAAAATAGTAAATGGTAGATTTCATTAAAAACTTGGAATGACAATAAGAAGAACACTATACAAATTTACAAACCCAAACTTTAAGATAAAGAAGTTGATGAATAAGATTTTAATTAGAAATACTTTAGGCAACTAAAATATTGACTTTGTATAAAAGAATGGTAAAGATCTCATTAGGATAAGTATGTAAGTTTGGGAATTACTTAATATTATATCTTGCGTACGTTTTTTTTTCATTAAGCTTGCAATTCTCTTACACTCTCTTCTGGTGATCGGAACTCTTTGATTGCCTTCTCTTCTGACTGTTTTCTGATGCTGATCCACTCCCAAGATCTGCTCGGCTGGGCTCCTTGCATAAATTAAAACAGATGATGAAATTCGCCAAGTTTGTCGCATAAGCGAGCCAAAAAACCAAACAAACTGTTGCCCAAGCGGAGATAAAATTATTCACTTATTTTTATAAAAAGCTTCTTTGTTTTTGGCCTTTTTACCGCCCCCTCCGCTGCTGCATTTGCCGTTATACAGACCGTCGACGACGCCCCCAAAAACTCACTGCATTCGCCCAAAGTCCAATTGGCCTGACCCGCCCCCTTTTCCCCCGATATTTAGTATTGATAGGTATTTTTAGTTACAACAAATGCAATAGATTTTCCCTTCTTATTTTCGCATATTCAGTTGCTCCCTCGCTCGCTAAATAGTCGCTGCTAGTTGGGGGCCGTCGCCATTGCGGTAGGTTCGTCCCATGCAGCGTATACGTAATGCCGAATGGCACAACCGCAATTTTAAGTGACCATGTTCATGCCTACTTGTGGTGTACATTTGTCACCAAATAATTCAGGCATATAATTCAAGTATTAATAAAAACGAAACCAATTAAGATCGCCATAGCATAATTTTGGTTTTCTCAAGGATTTTACTATAAATTTACTTTACAAGCAGGTCAGCAAAGTAAAAGGTAAAATTGAATCAAATTTAAAAAAAATTTAACATGTTAAAAATAATATTTATTTTCATTGAAATATATAACAAGAACAAAATTGTTCAATAAAATTAGTTAATATAACAATAAACTAGTCTTTAAACGAAGGTTTTGTATAAATAAGAATTTCTGGAAGGGCTTAACCTCCCTGGATTTTGGAAACTTAAAAAACTTTAGCAATTATGATTTGAACCCTTTCCTAAATTGACCTAAATTTATTTAGTATGGGCATGCTTAACCTTAGATACCGCAGATGTGGGTTTTTCCCTGATCCACTTTCCCAAGTCGCTTATCTCGAGTCGGACGCCAATTCGCCGTTTCTATTTATAGCACTTCGCCTGAAGTTGCTTGGCCAGACAAAAGCGAAAGATGATGAAATATGTGTGATATGTTCGAGCTAAAATTGCTCACTCCGGCGATTACTCTTCCGATTACCATGGTATTTCGGTACTTCACCCACAAGTGGAACTCGTATGTCGGAATACGGCTCTAGCAAACTTTGCGCCTCCTTCATTTATTCAGGGTCACCTTTCGAATCACCTTCACCTTCTACACATCGATCATTCGCCTCACGCATACATTTTTTGCACTGATCGACATTTTGCATAAAAAAGCTATGGGTGAACTTTATGGACTGATTTATTAAGAGGGAAAGTCACTCAAGCGACAGCGTTCCAAAGTTCAAACTCGCCCAAGACGAGCTTAAGTAATGATTTATGTACTAGTGCTGAGCGCGCTTTTATTTATACCTCTCAAAGTTCCAAGTTCTTAAATAATTTATGTAAAAAACCAGTTTATACGAATCTAATTTTGAGCCCTTGTCCGCATATGCAATGGGCGGCTTTTCCGTTATAGAGAATAAAGGTCAGACTCGAGAACTATTTGGAATACATATTGGTATTATATAATGCTCATTTTCCAAAATGTATAATTATAAAAAGAACTATTTCCGAAAAAAGTTGAAAATTCAAAATACACATGAAACCCTTTTTTATAGTATGCAGACTTTTACTTTTTACAAACATAAATAAGTATATATTTGCCTTCTCTTGTCAAAACTTGTTATTATGTATGTAAAAACTTTATACAAGTGCATGCAAGTATCCAATAATCGCAGAGTATGACCATTATTAATTTGTTTACTTGATTTTTCTGTTATTGTGACGGATCCGACCGGCCTGCTTTACATTGTACTCCAGTACTTTACTCATCCAGCGACTGCAGTCAACGCCAGCGGCACTGTTTCCAATTTTTTTTTATTTTTGAGACTTGACTTGGTTCAACGCATTGTGAATTTGCTCGTTGACCTTAAATGCAATTTGTAGCTACTGCTCGCTCATGTTTTGATTTTAAACTTCCGTTGTTGTCCTTACCAAAGTGCAAAAGCCTCTAGCGAAAAAAACAAAAAATCGAATACGTATAATGTATATCTCATATGCCCTGTTTCGATTGTTGTATTTTGACACGATCACCCGATCTTTCGGGTCTCTCGCTTCTCCGATTTATGGCCCCGGCCACACGATCAATAATTTGCAAAAATATGTTAATTATTTCTTGGTCCTCAGGGGCCACGATGCCATCTCTCTTTTTCTTTCAATCAATAGCTTCGATTCCGAGGTGCCCAGCTTTTGATAACTGAAAACGCGTCGGGTTTGCTAAAAATAAATAAAATGTGGGCAAGCACAGAGAGCAGCAACAAAATACTTTTTTTGCGCTCGTGCTTCAATTAGCCATCAACAATCAGAGAAAAAGGCAGAAAAAACAGGGCAGGGCAGCAGAAAATGTGCTAAATACTCAAATCATTCTGCACGCCTCTCGCTCATGTCCATAGATCATCGGGGGGAAAATTTTCAAGGGGATCACCGAAGTATTACGCGGAAAATTCCAGTTCCCAAAAAAAAATAAATGCAAATCTTAGCGTTATTCAAAAATTGATTATTAAACGTACAAAGCTATTTAGCATATGCTCTATTATGATTCAAGACCCCAAAAGAAACATTACAAATAAATGAATATCTTAAATATATGTTCATTTAAATATTTTTGCAAAACACCTTAGTGCTTTCAAAATAATGGCATACCAGACAAATATATATATTTTTTTTTTTATTTTTTTTTTTATGGGATAGATAGATATTTGGGATATGTACTTTTGTTATTGCAGATCACAAAACAAACTTTACAAATAACTAGTGACGTATCGATGCACAATAATAATATATATTAATTTCACAATTTTCGCAATACAATCTTTTAAGATTGCACTTTGCCTCAATTGAATGTGAAAAGAGAGAGAAAGCGAACAAAGAAAAGGAGGCGCTGTAACAAAATCTGATTCTGAAAACATAAGGGCCTTACAATCAATGCGTAGCTGCCTGTAATCGCCAGAGATAAGCGGGCAGACTGAGAACTGCCCTCCCCTTTTCGACTCCCATCTCACAGTCAACAGCAACAAACGCGCCCACTTAAACCAACAAACCAACAAACGCAACAATGTCAATATGGCAACAAAAATCAACAGAAAATTCCAACAAAATACACCGCAGTAATAAATATCAAAAATGAAAGAGGAAGAAAGCGAGGTGAAGGAAAGAGAGGCAGATATACAATATACAGAAGTCGGAGCACTTGGGCAATTTCCATTGTTTGTCTGCCGGCAGAGAGTATTCCTCCTATAGATTTTACAAAAGGGTTTACCGACCCGTCAAGGGCAATACATTAATCGCGGGTTCGTCGCCTATCAACTCTAATTTTGTCGTATTTTGCGAAACGCAAAAGCAAAACAAGAGTGAAGGCACCAACGCCCAATAAACAAGGTCTGCTACGTCATGCCACGGGCTTAGATAAACACGCCGTCCGATTCCGATTCCGAATCCGAATCCGATTCCCGACCGATTCGCACTCGATTCACGCCCGTTTCCAAATGCGGTTGCGATGGTCACGTTGTCGGCGAATGACAATGAGTTCGATAAACAAAATCGGAAGTGGTGTGTGCTATATATACGTACATAGATATAGATGTAATGAGTTGAGCACAGTGTCGACAGCACATTTCCTTATATAAATTGCGTAACACTGATGGATCTTATAGGATACAAAAGATACTACCTATTTTTGATGATTGATGAAAAAGTTTGCGATGAAGAAAGCAGAGTTTTTTTTTGCCATACACTACATCACATTGTTAATAAAAGGAACAGGAGATGTTTTGCTGGGACTGTACCGGTACACGCTGAATCTTGTACAGAAAGGTAGTACATTTTATTGATACTGTAATACCCCAATTAAATGATAATGAAAACTAATTCATATAAGATCAACTTTTACATCAATAGAAATAATTGCCGAGAAAGAGAGCTATAATCCCTAACTTGAAGATAAAAGTCATTTAATGACTAAGTACAATTTAGATTCATAAGAAGAACGATAATTTACAGCAGACGTCAGCCATTCACCGGAAGTCATAATTAAGCTGAATGAAACCCAACCCAGATAACCTCAACCCAATCCGCTAAAATGAATTCGATTCATTCAGAAATCTAGTCCGAGATCAGCAATGCAGATGACGAGCCGAATCACCTGCATTTACGGTCCCCAATCGCATTCCCATCCCCGAGTGCCCAGGCCCAGTCCAGCCCCTCGCATATTGATAAACCCCCATTGACGCCGCATGGAAAGCGGATCCCACCCTCTCGGCTCTTCGGAAAGTGATAAGAACCCCGGCTGATAAGGGCCACGCCTCTCGCTCATGTTGTGACTGACTAACGGACAAGCGGACAAACGGACAAGCGGACTTAC